GCTCTGTTGACCTTTAGGTAAGTGGGTGAAGATGGATGGATGGATGGATGGATGGATGGATGGATGGATGGATGGATGTGTTAGGAATCCAGTTTGTGTGGGTTATTTTTGTTTTCTTTCTTCCACCACTAGATGGTGCCCTGTCTTCGTTTGGGCCTCCTCGCACACCTGCGGCTCGTTGGGTCATCACCAGAGGAGTATTTGAGCAGCGGACTGTCACTACCTCGACGCCAGAGTGTTTGCCAGTATTTTGCCTTGTCTTTCTTAGTCTAAGCTTGCTTTGTATTTGTTCTCAGGCAGGAAGCCTTCCTGATCCACTGGATAAGCCTGGACCTTCTATCCCCCTGGAAGGATAAACTGAGGCACAATTGAGCAAGGGGAAATCTCCACATGATCCGTTCAAGACCTCTTCAGGAAAACCCAGTGACAGTCCACTCCATTGCTCCTCTGGACCCAATGTTAGTCTGCCTGTCCACCCTCCAACGAGTTCTTTCATCTCTGGATAAGACCCCTCAAACTGGATCCAAAGATTAACCAAGAGTTCACCAAACGTGAGTGCCTCTCCTGCAAATTACAAGCCTCAGTCATTTTTCCTACGGTCCCTGAACTGATCATTGTGATCTCCCCTTCAGAGTTTCACCAATCAGCTGAGGTCCAACAGTGTTACCCAGCTGTATATCCCTCAGTCTGTGTTTTTGTAAATCACTAAAACCTGTTAACTTTTTTCCTTGGCTTCTGAGTGTGTTTCTGCATGTGGGTCAGATCCTTAAAGCCCATCCTGTCAGGATGGATGGATGGATGGATAGATGGATGGATGAGGTTTTAGCTTCATCTACAACACAAAAATAAACTGGCATTGCATTACATTACCTATTCAAATTTGCTTAATTTTCTAAAATGCTCAAGTTTAATTTTTTTGTTTTATTCTTAAATGTTCTTAATTGTAACAGCATTATTAGACAGAGGAGTAGAGGTTCTTTGTGGAGTTTCTATTATCAAGCCTATATAAAGTGTTTCAGAAACTAGAAATAAATGTCATTAAACTATAAAGTTAAACTATAACCATGAGTTCAGAGATGGTTCATCATATTATTATACTATCTAGGTCATAGATCTTTTTCACCAGAGTTCAGGCATCAGTTTGAGTTACAGATTAGCTAAAGAAATTTTCATTCCTGGTAATGTTTATTGCCACAAATCTTTTCCATCGACTACACTACCTGAGTTAATAAATAGTGACAGGGCATTTATAGTAAAATATTTCAAAAACACATGGAAATATATATATATATATATATATATATATGTATATATATATATATATATATTTTTTTTTTTATTTATTTATTTTTTTTTTTTATATGTATTCTTGTTCTTCAACAAGCAAACTGGAGAAGCTAAAGACTCCAAAAGTGTAGTTCAGGTATTATACATTGATTATATTGGTCTATATACAAAAATATAGTCCTTTAAAATTACTGCTGAACCTGAGAAATCCATATAAGTCATTTATTTTTCCTAACAGTACCAGCAACTATTTAATTCTACTTTTACCTCTGCTTAAGTGTGACAAACATGCAAATAAAATAAAAAATCAGGAAGGGGGAAACACCTAATCTGGAAACTATAAATGCTCCAAACGTTCATAGAAGGCATGCTCTAAGGAAGGGTAACTTGTGATAAGCTCAGACTGTAGGATCCAGAATTCGAGGCGAGGCAGACGGTGGGAAAGTTCAAGACGTTTATTAAAAAAACAACAGAGAACGCAGAGCTGTGGATCTGCAGATCTGCTGAGGGAGGCGGGGCACCGCCCATCACTGACACTCAGGAGAAACACAGGTAAGTGACCACGATTATCTGACGGAAGATGATTATCCATGTGAGTCACTTACCTGATTTAACAGTTCACTCCATCCTCTCGAGTGAGGCAGGATCCATCCAATGGACTGCCAATGAGATGCAGAAGCCTCTGTGAACAATCATTGATCCAAGCCAGGTCAGGGAAACAGTTCAGAACAGTATGGCTCAGAGATCAAGTCCACAACCCGGCCAGGGGTTTCAATCAGAACAGGAACAGACAGATCCAGGGTTCCAGAAATCCACAGACAGGTTCAGGGTTCCATGAGTCTAATACCAAGTTCAGGCAGAAATGCTCAAATGGAAACAGGCAGGCTCAGTAGTTGAGAGGCAGAACAAGACACGATACCTGGAAAATTACATAACTTTAAACTAGCTCCCTCCACTGAGCCAAAAACAGGAACAGGGTACGCTCAGTGGATAAGAGCCAGGACATGATCAGGAAAAACTAAGACAAGACCAAAACTCTCTCTAACCACTGGCCTCTAAGAATAAAAACATGAACTATGGAAAACAGCTATGATCTCCAACTAAAATTCAAACATACAAACAAAGCATACTTAATAATCTGGCCCCGATAGCTGGGCTGAGCTGTAGATAAAGCATCAGGAGCAGGTGGATATGATGAGTGATGATTAGTAACCGGGGAGGGTTAGGAGGGTGAGTTAAATGAACAGTTAGGTCAGCTATCACAGTAGTGATCATGACATAACAAAAAAAATGCTCACTGCTCTTTTAAGATGTTCATTTGTAAAAACCTTTTAAAATCATTTACCGCTTCCTTTCACTTAATGGTTACTTTTGCAAGGCAGATAACAGACTGATAGATTACATTTTAAATATCTGTTTTATAGAATAATCATTTTATCAATTTAAATACATGAATACTTTGTGTGATACACTGATTGGTCACTAATTAGTGTTTTTCATCAAGATATTTTATTAACAAAATATTCAACTTAAAAAAAAATTCTACGTGGTCCACCTATGGTCATAAAAATTACCTAGGATGGTAGTGGAGACACAGGCTTCCTCAGCACTGAGGTAGGGCACTCCTTTAAAGATAAAGTAAGGAGCTTGGCCGCCCAGGAGAGGCTATTAGTGGAGTTGCATCTCCTCCATATCAAGAGGCAAATCAACAGCCAGTGTAAATACAAATCAATACCACTCAGCAACATGTGGGAGCAAAGTCCAACGTTTTATCCATATATCTAATGACAAAGTATTTAATCTCGCTGTAGTTTGAGAGCTGGGTTGCACCTTTGTAATTCTATCACAAGAGGGCGGTATTTCTTCTGGGTATTTTCATATGTTTCCCTTAGATTTTCTGAGAGATCAGTCAGCTGAATATTTAACCTCTCCATAATAAAGAAACAATATTATATTTTCTGTTGGCAGTCAATGTGAATGCAAAGATCAATGGGTTTAAATTTAGTCAGGTTGTATTATGATGTATGCATTCTAATATTGTGCACCATAATATGAGGTGTATTTTCAAGAGTAAGAAGACTGTTAATGTGAAAGCCATTGTGCTTTATTTGAAAAAATAATGACACCCTACTCCAGACTTAACCAATGGTTGAGTGCCTCGACAGCTGCAGGGTTCGTTGATGTGGTGTCAGGGTGTTTTAGGGACTTTAGACTCCGACCTTGACTTTCCGTTGCCCACTCCACACTTCAGTGAGAAGAGGAAAGTCCCAAATTGACCCAGGTAATGAGAACCTTGCTAAGGGTGGAGTAAAACAGAATTAAAGACAAGGAGAAAAAAACACTCTCTGTGCTTGGTAGTGAAGTTGGAGCAGGACCAACTCAGATGAGTCATTGATATAGGGCACCTTCTACCCTCCTCCTCATATTTTGGTGGTTTCTTGAGCTCGTCTCATAGTGTGCAGGCTGGTGATATTCCCCCAGCAACATAAAATATAGAAATGTAAGATCAGATTTTTTATTTTCATTAGCATGGCCAGAAGTCTTGGAGAGTAAAAAAAAAAAAAAAAAAACTTATATGAAACATTAGCGAAATGAGAATGCTGCAGCAGGCCTAGTAATAAACAATGAAGCTCAACATACTTTCTACATATTCTGCAGATGTGATCAGTAGTAATGCATAACGGCCAGGGAAGTATTGTCTGTGTTTCACAGAAATCAGATCAGATCAGTTCAGTTCAGAAGTGGAAGTGGGTTATTATCGACATAACGAACCAAAAAAAAGAAAAGAAAAAACAGCAGGAAAAAAAAAACATGATGTAAATCAAAAATGTTCAAAAATCTGTTAATGGCAGCATGAAGCACATGAACATTTCTGAAAGGAAGTTTGCATTTTACCGAAAGCCATTCTTGTGGAAATACATCCTTGTGAAAGTTTGGGGTCTGGTAATTTCCAACTAAGAAGTTATGCTGAAAATGTCTTTTTTTTTTTTTTTTTTTTTTACTTTTCAATATATAAAAACCACAAATATGCTTAATTTTCTAAATGGAATGAGTTGTATTAGGATTTGCTGCTGCCAACTGACCCTTAACAAATGTTTAAGGGAGTTTTGGCCAAGCGGTTAGAGTAGTGCGCTTGTGCTCTAAGAAGGTTGCAAGTGTCTGGTTCAATCCCCACAGCCTCCACTCTGGGTTCCTGAGCAAGATCCTTAAACCCAAACTGCTCCCCGGGCGCCACACAATGGCAGCCCATTGCTCCCCAAGTGGATGGGTTAATTGCAGAGAGTGAATTTCATTGCTCTGTACTTGTGACAGTGTAATGACAAAAAAAAGCTGAAAAAAGTGTGTAGGGGGGGCTATCCTATGTTAAGAAACACAATTAGGTGTCTATTTTAATTCAGATTTCATTTAAATGTTTACAAAACCCACATACACACACACAATAAAAGGCAAAAATATATTTGTAATATAGGTAGTCTTAAAGACAAATCTTGACCAAGAAGTGTCTCATTTAATCTGCACTTCCCAACCCCCATGTCTTCACCTGTATGCACAAGACAGACAAGCCTGCTTTGAATTCTTGAGAAACGTTTTGAAACCGTCTGAAAAAAAAAAAAAAAACAGATAATCAAAGAAGTCGTATATGCAAAAAATACCCCGAATTCAGCGCAGCGTTTAACTCCTTTCCTGCCCAGCTCGGTGTAAGTTAGAGCTTAGGGTTTATTGTTTCGTTTTAAAGCGAAAGTAGGCCTACAGCGTAAAGCAGACGTTCATTAAGAGCAGAGGAGCAGCTCCTCTGAGGCATGCTCAGAAAGGTGCGCAGGGACTCACAGATGTTTAAGTTCTCCTGGGTTTTCCTTCGGGTATATTTGCATGAGTCTGAACATTTGAGCGCTTATCCAAACAAAGACAAAAAAGGGGAAACAGGGCAATGGTTTGATTTGACCGCTGCTCGTTTTCCCACCCTTTAGATGTTGGAGTTTCTCAATTGATTTTGTTTGATACAAACTATTTGTCTCTGGGATTGAAAAAAACAGTTGCGCTCTCACCTGAACCTGCTTCAGTTGATGCCGAGTCCTATGACAATGAGCGTTGACCACCAGTCGGTTGCTACAGCGCCGCTGGATCTGAGCACCACAGGTCGAGGGCGCAGGAGCGGGGGAGACCTAACCTTCTGCGACGGAGACGCGCGGGCGAGCGGCGGCTCACCTGCGCCTCCCGCGAGCACCGGGACGGACAGTTCAGTGTTGCGCCGCTCCCCGGACACGGACAGCACACATTCCCGCAAAAGGACAGCGGACGGATCTCCCATAAAGAGTCCGTCGACTCTTCCTTTTAGGAAACGGCATTTTCTTGTCGAAGCGGAGACACAGAAGCCGGCTGCAGCTGCAGAGGAGCAGACAGTCCGGGAGCCCGCGCGTCCTCGCTTGGGGAAAGCTGAGGATGAAACCAGGTTCGGGGTTGCGCCGGTGACCCACAGGCGGACCGATCAGGCAGCTCACAGTCCGGAAGGCTATCCCTGCTGCATTTTACCACTTATTAATTACGGTAAGCGCTTCTTTCTATATCTCCCATTTGCTCTGTCGCATATTTTTCTTTACACCAGTTTAACCTGAACTGCTATGCTATAAGTATGTCTAATAAATGTTTTTTTAATGTAATTTCGGTGAAATTAACATTACTGAGAAAATAATGACCATACTGGAAAAAATCAAAATCTAGATAAGTCATTTTTTCTTAAAATAAGTGCATTTGTTCTTGGATTGATGAGATAAATGAGACATTTTGGAAATGGAACAAGACAATTTAAGCTTAAAATAAGAAAACACCATTGCTTTTAAGTGCATTTTATCTAATTATCTTATTTTAAGAGCAAAAATACTCATTCCATTGGATAAACTGTCATTTACCCACTTAAATTAAGGGTAAATACACTTAATCTAAGAAATGTTTACTTATTTCTTGATCATTTTTCCAGTGCAAACAACCTAATTTCACCCAAGTTAACACTAATGATGGAGGTATGTCCTGTTTAGTTTTTCTCCCTACAAGCCTGTAGGGAACTCAGAAAACACAGAAGTTAAGAAAAACTTGCTCATTCAAAACTATGTGAGGAAAACGCTGCAAAGTAACAGATAAGCTGACCAGAAAGATGGATGGAGCTCATAACTCGAGTGGCATCCTTCTTACCGGTCAGCAGGGAAGGCCCTGGACATCATTTTAATTAAGATTTATTATTATAGCTAAGCAGTTTATTACAGAAGTTTCAAGAAAAAGGTTTGGAATTGTGTGTTTTGTTAACAAGCAAACATGGACAAATATGTTTTTTCTTTTGTGAGTTCTGTCCAAAAAATTGCAATGTGCATGGATTTAATTCAAAAAAATTAAACACAATATTCATTATGTAAACATTTGATTGATGACGATTGTCGGAATAGAGCAAACATCTAGTCGTCTATTCAGGGTGTGATGGAGGTCAGCAGGACAGGATTCAAGGGCTTTTATAGTATTGCTCTGCAAAAGCAAATGCAAGGTTTGTTTATACTTGGCACACTTTGCAGTTGTCTACAAGAAGGTCATTGATAACATCACTGGAGTCGTAGTTAACACAGTGACTTATACTGAGAAAGTGTCCAGTCAGCTTCTCTGCAGCCATTCATCTTCGTCAACTGACAGAAGAGCATCCCCTTTCTCGGTTAGATCATAGCTGAGTATACACTCCCCTACTGCAGATGAGCTTCCTTTCTACAAAAAAAACAAAAAAAAAACAGACTCATCTACTTTACCATCAGTTATTTTTTACTTGTCAGAGTCCCTTATCATATGCCTACTTTTCTTTTATGGGTTCTTTCTCTCTTTTTTCCTGTTGCTCTGATCAGGTCACTACCCAGTGTGCTGCCTAACCCCCTTTCCAGAGCCACACCACCCACAAGTCCACCAGACCGACAACCTGCTGGCAGGAATCTCTTTGGCCAAACATCAGGATGAAGATGGAGACACGTATGTCAATGTGCTAAAGCAGCTTGTTTGTAGTCATTTTGCGGTTTACAGTGCAGGTTATCACCGAACATATCCAACTTTTCTTTATTCAAGTCCCCAGGGCTGTCGGTAAACCAACAATGTCACTATGATTCATTCACTGCTTGGATTTTCATGATTGCAGATGGGTGACTTTGCTGACAGATGAAAGTTGGCAGAGTAAACAGATACTAAATCCCACCACATTCATTAATATTAATGAGATTTCCAGCAAATGAAGAGGATGCACAGACCCGTCTCTGAGGAGACAGAGGTTTTTTTTGTTTTAGATGATGCAGCTTACAATATAGGGCTGGGATCCTGAGAGTAGTGGAGGGTCCTACTTTTTTTTTTTTTTCTTTTTTTTTCCAGCCTAGACTCTAATGAAATCCTTTTCCGTACCCCATTCGTGCTGAATATGGGTTTGGGGACCTTGGAAATCTGGGATATTTGAAAGTGTCATTTTCTTTTTTCATTCTGAGATAAGAACAATTTTTAAGTAAGAGGTCTGTAGGCCAGTAGGATCATTTTTCTCTTTAATGATTCAGTACATGCAGATTTATGTTAGTATCTGAATGCAAGGCCTTGTGTATTAATTGATGTTTATTTTTCGATGGGGAAACATTGGATAACTAACTGTGAAGTAGCAATGTTAAAGTGTTAATTGGTAAAATTACTATTTAAACACACAACAGATAGAAAATCAATTGAGTTTACAAGCAAATAAAGATGGAGAGCTTTTTGAGGGTTTGACTCCAGAAGGTTTGCACATCTTAATATTGTTTTTTGTGTCTTTTATTTTGCTCATTTGTTCTCTGACAATTGCCCAAACTCAATCTGGTTTGGTTTATTTCACCCTGGACCATATTTTATGTTTGAAAACAAATTCAACATCAATTAGGCCCAGGCAACGAAAGCGCTGCAAAGGCCTCTGTAGTGTTTATTATTTTATTTACGTCTGGATTCTGAGTGGGTCATTCTAATATTTGCCAGCAGCCTTTTGCTCAGTTTTTCTCAACATATTTGGACACCTATCCAGAAGTGTCCCTGGACCACTGGGTTTGAAGAACTCGGGCAGCAAGCAGCATAGGATCCTGCAGTTGTAGATCTGCTGTTTTATAAGTGGAAGTAGCCAAAACTCTTTCAGAAAAATTGAGAGAAAAGTGTTTTTTGCTTTTGATTGAGTCCTGCTTTCGAGTTATTCCAATACATGAATTTACTTTGATCTGAATCAATAACATCTAATATTTTGACTAAGAAGAAATGTATTTCAGATATTATAAGTAGTTATTCAGTCAAGTTAATCAATGTCATAACGACTAGTTAAAATATGTAAACATTTCTAGGTATGTCAAATCTATTTCTTATAAGTTTAATTTTTTTTTGACATTCTGAAATCCTTATCTTTCAGGCAAACATGTAATTAAGGATTTTTTTTATTACAGTTTAGACTAGGAGTGTGATATTGACCAGGAAGAATAATATTTTAGTGATCTAGAAATGGAAGAACAGAGTGGAGAATGCTTTTAATGAATGTTAAAATGGCCTGCTATACGTATGCATTACTGGAGCAACAATCTGCTCGCCATCTCCCTCTTCTTTGCTGCTGAAGTGCTTTTGCTCTTTCTTTTAAACACATTCTCCAATACTTTTTTCTAATTCTGCATTTAAATATCTAGTTCCAGTGGTGTGGTGCCTGTTGTCATGGTGACTCATTGAATCTTTGCTCCACTGATAATGACTTTTTGTATTTGTTATGCACTTGCTCAACTCTGAGTGAACCTACTTAGAGTTTGTTAAACTAACTCACAGCAGCTGTAGTGAAACTGAAAACAGAGTTTCAAACTTTAGTCTAGATCAATTCATAGTTAAGGATTTCAGTCTGAGTTTGTAAAACCTGCTTTCTGAAACAGGCCTCTCTAGATTAAGTGTGATGCTTTTAAGCCAAGGCCAATTCTTCTTGGTTGTTGCAAGCCAGATGCAAATCATTAACCAACCTGTCACTCTTCTGGGTCATTGGAGTCTGTATTTGGTGTTAGTTATGTATTTTTTCCATCTGAATCATGATAAGAATTCTGGTGCAATTTGCTTAACATGGAGCAAGTCCTGTTTACGGTCTACCACCCGAGCTATCATCTTCTGCTTCTCCAGTGTTAAAACAAGTATTTTGGTCGCCTCTATAATTATTAATGTTATGTTGGCCAGGGTTGTCAATTTGGGTGAACTGATTTGAACTGGTAGGTTTTCAGATTAATTTTTGGTTGATTGAAACTAATAAAGACTATTTGTTTCATTGGATTTTATTCATTAGGGACATATAGACGTGAATACATAATGTCACGTGTAATGTAAATGTTCCACGAGTCAAGTTAAAATGTCTAAAACAGTACATTTTCCTTCCAATTAACAATTATGTGCTCTGGTCCTTACTTCGGCCTGAATAAGAGACTTAAAAGTTCAATATACCGTGACAAACTGCAGTATAAAAAGCTTTAAGCACTGGAGCTCTGAGTGGAATGCTGTGGTTCGCCTTACTCAAAAAGATCAGGAATTTGCTTCCAGGTGTCTCCATGTTATCCAGGTCCTAACTGCCTACATTTTGCAAACTGTGACCTGTTTTAAAACCCAAAGTATAAGGTTTTAGTCTATATCGTTGCTCTATACCAGCCAGAAGCCAATCGATTAGCACTGGCATGAAGTTGAACTTGCTTTTTGCATAAATAACTTTACCTAGGATACCAGATGCTACATCTCTTTAGATCATTTGATTTAAAACTTAGCATTGAAATTACCCTTGTGAGGTAAAACAGAAAAACTCCTGACCTCATAAGTAAAAATTTATTATTGCACAATGTAAGCCTAGACCGTTTGGAGCATCATCTCAGTTTATTTGTTTCAACCTCAGTGATTTCCTGTTTCTACATATTTAGCAGGTATAGTCAGTACCGCCCCCACACAGTAATCATATCCAGGCAAATGTTTTAGTGCTGTCTAACTTTCCAGTAGGGAAAGTAGTTTCATCTTGATCATAACTGATTCACCAGCTGTTGTAACAGAATACTATCAACATCCCAAAACATAAGGGTTTTGGTTATGAGCTGTCAGACTGAGAGGCGACTACATTTAGTTTTCTTTAACAGCCAGCTGACTAGTCTCTTAGGGTGTTGGAGTAAGGGGGTTGGGAATGATACTGTCCTCAGGGCACAGTGTCGAGACCACATGAATGCAAATGCTAAACTATAAACGCATGGCCACCCGCCTTTTGTTTGCAGGTTCAGCACCTTCCCACACATCAAGTTAAATGAGAAACTGACACTAGAGCACGAGGGCACTCTCAGGCAAAGTCATGTGACTGAAAATGAAGCATGTCCTAGAATTAAATTACACTTTGATGTTGCAGTTTCAAATAGGATCACCTTCACTTGCATCGAATCAAAACAAACTTTTGATGACCAACATTTTAAATAGCCACAAGTATCTTAACTAGCTTGATGCTTTTGTCCTACAGACACGTTTGCTGTTGGCTGTGACATTTTAGCCATAAGTCAGTTTATCTGGACTTCTTATAGACCAGTTAAATTTTATTTTTTCAATATTATACCTTTTACATGCTTATTAGTCCCTCCATGGTAGAGTGGCCAATGTATACATCCTTGATGGATGATGTAGAGATCCAGGTCTTAATCTGGCATAAAAACTAAGTATACATTTTCCTTGCTTGTGACGAGCCCCTGCAAAATGTAGCAGCTGGATGGAATCAAACATCTTTCACATGCTCATTATTGCTTCTTTCTTAAATTCCAGTTTGCAGACAAGCCTGTGTACTATTGTAACCATGCATGTCTTACAGTATGTGTCTCTTTGTGGTTGCATAAAACTCTGCCTGAATTCTTCAGAAAGAGACAGTCTTATCCCCTTGTTATTTTTTTTCACACTGTATGTATGCAAGTGTGTGTGACTGCGTGCATGCAAAATGTGAGTGATGGTGTTCACGCCTGCTCTTACGTCAATGAGCCCTTTAGTTTCGGGAAAGCCAGAGAGAGCTCAGTTTTTAACATGATTGTGGTTTTTCTCAGGTGTCTATATCTCTCTCTCTTTCTTCTCTGTGTTTTTAAATGAATGGGCTCAAAAAACCCAAACATCCGCTCCCCACTTCCTCATTTACCGCTTTCTTTCTATCAGCCCCATCTGGTGCTCTCTCTCTTTTCTCTCTCTCTCTCTCCATTTATTTTGTGTGTCACACTGTGTCTTGGTTTCATGGTGTGCAGATGTCAAGTTCAATTTAAATACATTTCTTCCAGAAATCTTCAAAGCAAAATTTTGGGGTATAAATAGGCCATGTAGTATTCCACTTATGAAAGATCTTGGTTTATGGAGAGGTTGATTATGGAACACTTGTTTAAAAATCTAGATTTTGTCAAATATTGAGTGTTAATATTTGAGTGTTTCAACATAAGGTTTGAAGTTATCTGTTTTTAAAAAAATACAACCAATGACTCCTACAAAGCTCTTAGATGTGTGTTTTTAGGTACCACAAATTTTCTAGTTACATTCAATACTTTTTCAAGATTAATGGAAGATTGCATTTGCAGTATAATATAGTTTTCAAATCACAAAGGTACTTAATTTAAATCATGCTATATTTACCAAGAGTAGGGCTGCAACCAATGATTATATTACTAATCGATTAATCTGTCAATTATTTTGCATTAATCGATTAATATTTAGACAGCAAATGGTTCCTTAAAGAAGATTTTTTACAGAATTAAACCAAGAGAAACTAAAGGACTGAAGGACCTGTTCTTCAAAACGGGCAAAAAGAAGGCTGCATTTGTTGGCCGCATAATGAGGAGTCTTCCAATCCGAACAGGCCTTGTCACAACCATATGATGTAATCGGCTGATAATTTTGACTTTTGGAGGATTTTATGCTCCAATTTGCTAGGGAGCATAAAGATTGGACTGTGGAGCAATGGAAGAAGG